AATAAGGCCCGTCGCAAATTGAACCCAGCCCACGCACAGCACACGCCCAACCCATTCTTGTGTGACGACTTTTCTGTCGTTACCCAAATAGAATGAAAAAAGAATCCGTTGCTCAGGGTTAGAGGAAAGCTGGGTTCGTAGGTAAGGCTTCTGACTCATAGTGACTTTCTAATGTTGTTAAAAAATAAAAAAAATGATAACATATAGGCTGCAGAGATTTTAATATTGATGTTAAGAATTCAAATAGGTATGGTCAAAGACAGTGACAGAAGTGGATGCAGATGACTATGGCAGGAGAAGTCTTCGATATCAGCCAAAAGAACGACTGTAATATCAGGAACACCGTCTTAAGGTCTGCATAGGCCCATACAAAATGCAAGTGGGTGAAACATACAATAATTACTGCATTATTACTGCATACCATGTGGTAATTACTGAGTACCATGTGGTAGTTACTCTATAAATAAAAAATAGTTCTCAGGACAGATACTCAATAAAAAAAAACAACTTACGGTCTGAAAATCAGCTTTACATAAATATATTCAAACCATATACCGATCCAAACCAGTAATTAAATACTCAAATAAACGAAATAAAAAACGGAAATAACTGAAATAGAATTTAGTTTAGATAGGGCTATATAAAATGGTGGATAAACTTACGGTGGTCATTCCAAGAAGAAACCAAACAAATACGATCTATACTCTAGATTGCATACTTTACAAGGTTTTCAAATCTCCAAATCGGATACCCATGCAATGGAAATCGAAAAGTGGATTCAGAGTACTTTTCACTGAAAATTTGTCGGACGCCGAAACACGCGTCTTCTTCAGATCCAAATTCTCAGAAAAAAAAGACCTTCTTCTCAGTTTCAGAACCGAACTGTCATAAATGAAGTTCTATTCTCTATTCATCTAGCGAATATATCTCTATTCATCTAGCGAATAGATGCGCTAATAAAAATTAAATATCGGGACAAGTGAAATGCAATTAAGGAAGTTTAGCATATAGCGAATAGATGGCGCTAATAAACAAGACAAGTGAACTGTAATAAATGAAGTTTGATATCTTTGGCATCTAGCAAATAGATGGCGCCAATACTAAGAAATTTAAATAAAAATAGATTTTTAAATTCAATTTTATTAAAGGAAATAAAAAATGCTACACTTGATTCCACGCACACGTTCTCCTTAGCACCGCATATTGAACACAGCCCAGACCCAAGTTTTTAGTTTCGATCATGAGTGAATACGAGCAACTTCTTGATTTAGAATCAGGATCTGAGAACGAAGAAGGATTCATTTTACTTCATTTGCTTAATAAATAGAGAAAAAAATGTAAAAAACGCATATTTGCGAAAAAAGCAAGCAAAGGAGAGTTTAGATTGTCTAGCGAAGTTCCAGACAGTCTATTTAAAGAGTCTTTTCGATTAAACAGGAGACAGTTTTTTGAAGTATATGAACTAATAAAAACAGACATTACCTGTAAGGAATGCAACGCCCGAAAACCTATTGGAAGTGAAGAAAAACTAGCGGTTTTTCGCAAAAGTCGCAAAAGTAGAAGGGGAAGGAACCCACGACCCACGAAAACTGTGTTTGAACGCAACTAGATCCACGAAAAGGCTGTGCTAGGCGTGGAGTGTGTTTAATTTGCGGTACTCCCTTCTTTCCTGTGTTTTACAAAATTCCCCAAGCATGGGTTGAGCATGTGCTGTGCGTGGGCTGGGTTCAATTTACGGCGGGCCTAAATATCAGTTGTGCTACAAACATTAACAATGAAAAAATACAGGGTGTCCCAATATTCCGTGAATATAGAACTACTACGTTTGCCAACCATACCAAACGAAGCAGTTTTCTATACAAAAGTGCTTAAACAGGAAATTATTATTTTTTATTACTTATTATTATTTATTATTACTTATTTTTCTATATAAAAGTGCTTCGTTTGGCCGTTAGAGGGCATTCACTTTAAAAAAAATAAACACATTTCTTCAGATATTTTAAGAACTGTTAGACCGATTTGAATGAGATTTTGAGTGTCTATGTTTTGCTAAGTGCTTTAACATTTGACTTTCCCAAAAATCAAGAGAAAGTACGGGAAGGGTAAAAACTACCCCCACCCCTACGTAAATCTATACTAATATATAAAATCGTTAAGTGACTGACTCACTGATTAATCACGATCCTGCTCAAACCAATCAACGTAAGAAGCTCAATATAGGCATACAGGTTAATTCTAGGGTGTAGAGGTTCGATAAGAAGGGATTTTTCGAAATTCCAGTTCCAAGGGGGTGAAACCACCCCTCAAATATTACAATACTTTTTATTTAAAAAACGGTAAAGTTTCCGCTTAAACACGTATATTTCATTTTATTTTTTTATATATTTTAAGATTTTTTAAAAATGTATACAGGGTGTTTCGAAAAATCTGGTCATTGATTAATCACGATCCTGCTGAAAGCGCTTGACGAAAAAAGCTGATTTTTGGAAAACGGATTGACTTTAGGGTGCAGAGGTTACAATGGATTTTTCGAAGCTCGAATTCTAAGGGGGTGAAACCACCCCTCAAATATTAGAATATTTTTTATTTTAAAACCGGCGAGTTTTTCGGAAAAACTCTTAAACACGTATACTTTATTTTGTTGTTTTACATATTTTAAGATTTTTTAAAAATTTATACAGAGTGTTTCATAAAATATGACTATTGAATAACCACGATTCTGCTTAAACTGCTTGACATTTAAAGCTGCTTTTTGGCAAACGGATTGACTGTGGGGTGTAGAGGTTCGATAAAGGAGGGGTTTCCCGAATCACAAATTCCAAGAGGGCGAAAACGCCCCTCAAATATTACAATATTTGTTGGACACGCATAATTTATTTTGTTTTTTTTACATATTTTGAAATTTTTTAAAAAATCATACAGGGTGTTCCAAAAAGTTGGGTAATTGATTAACCACGATTCTACTTAAACTGCTTGACCTAAAAAGCTTATTTTTGGCAAACGGCTTTTTCGAAAGTCAAATTCCAAAGAGATGAAACTACCCCTCAAATATTACCAAGTTATATAATAATATCGCAATATTGTTTTTTCTCATGCTGACATAAATGTGAGAAAATGTTATCCAGTTTGTATGTTAATAGAAATTCTTGCTTTGATTTATCATCACCATTACAAATGATTAATTCGACGTAAACGAAGTCGCGGGTACACGCTAGTGTTAGTATAAATATTTTCCAATTCAACCGACGACCGATTTCTTTTTTTGTAAAATGGTCCCCCTAGGATTTACTACATTTTTTGCCCCTTGTAAAAAACGCCACATCGCATAGTTTTTGAAAAACAAAATTTTTGGAGAATTAATTTTTCCAAAGCAGACCTATAAAATATAGAGGGAGTTCCAATATTCCGTGTACATAGAACAACTACGTATATTTTGAATCAAAATAAGTTAATTACACATAATTTACCTTTATACAAAAGTGCTTCGTTTGTACCTTGAGGGCATTAACCAAAAATTAACCCGAAGTTCTAAGCTTATTGTCAAATATAATTTGTGGTACTAACATAAAATTCGATATTTTCACCAACTAGATTATTAGAGCATAATAGATTTTATAATAGAAAGTATTATAATAAAATCTCGAAATTGATAGACAGACTTCTGTTTCTGTTATATTTTATATCATTGAAATTAAAATCATCCAGCTGAAAAAAATCAGTTAGGAGAAACAAGTCCTTACAGACACATTACAAGCATCTGTTGCTTGCATTGCAACATTAGTCTTATTTATACAGAAAAATATTATGACATTAATCTCAAATGCATTATTTTATCTGTCCAAACCAGGCTGCAGTTATTCATGCTGCTCTATCATAAATAATATTTGGTTGACGTAAAAGAATACTTCATTAGATTTAAAATAAAACTGCTCAGAGCAAATGCAATCATAAATAAGAGAAACAAATTTCTAGTTTGCATCACGCAACTCGAAAAATATAAATTATATACATTCTTTTGTAATATCTGTAAAAGAACCTGGAAATTCTTTTATCGTTAAATATTCAAAAACAACAAGTTCTAAAACTCTTAACAACGACTCTTAAGAATAAAACTGTTTATATAAATATTTAAAAAACGTAAAATACTCTAAAGCATTTTTGGGTTTCACCTTATTTCAACTAAGAATTATGTATATAATGTATGTAAAAAAATGCCATGTCTAGCAACGATGTTAGTCCTCTATAAAAATCTGTATGTGTGTCATGTTTAAAATATTGTTTTCTAACAATTAAAAAGTCTTTATTCAAAATTATTGATTTGATAGGTATAGAACCTAGAAAAACAAGGTATTTCCCTAGATTAGGTATATCCCTAGTTATTAATTTATCAAATACCTGAAAACCCGAAGTTTAAAATAAAGCAGGTGCTCTTAAGCTATTTTTGATGTAAAATCAATAAAGTTTAATAAAAGGAACAATTATTATTAGTTGAATTCGAATACAATTCAGAATAATTCGTATATTCTAAGTGAAATTCAATTATTTTTCATCATATTATAGTGTATAATACACGTCTTTATATTTTTATTCTAATATTTTTAAAGTGCGCGCGCTGGGAGTAAACATTCAAGGCCGTGACACACAAGCTAGCGAGACGAAAAGTGGTAAGGACAGCTTACGGCTTAGAAAAACGTAGTGACGCGACGTGTATTTGTCAGCAGTCCAGATCTTTATCAAAAATATTGATATTTTAATACAACTTGTTAATGATTAATGGTTGTGTGAAATATAATTAAATGAAATAACAATAATTTCGTTTGCTTTAATATTCATATTAAAATACATATATGTACGTATTATTCTAGATAAATTTTAACTAAAATAAATAGTTAAATATTGTAATTTGTAATAATCAAAATTTTGTTTCATCATTAAATTTAATCAATATATTTTGAAACATTCATATTTCACCACCCACAATATCATACTTCTCTATAATATTACGGAGTTTTCTGAAAATATTTACAATCAAATTCTACTTATAAAAACTTTTTTGCCAAATTTGAGCAACTTACAGAAAATTGCTAACAAGGATTATCAGGGTCATTCATAAGGCCAGAACCCTTCTGCTGTGCTGCAAAAGCAATCACGAGAATGGCCATAAAACAGTGGGTGACCAAAAAATCTCTAGAATGTTAGAAAAATTCACCAGAGCAAAAACAGGCGAAAAAGTTCATGGTATTTGCCAAAATTTAAGACCTGATAAGCAAAGACAGAAAGACTGGCGTAGTGGGTCTATTAACAGAGCATTGTAAGCTTAATTGGCATCTTAAGCTGATGGGATTGATGTTCAGATTTTGTCAATCTGAAGAAGAAATAACAGAACATTTTATGTGACGCGACAGCCTGGGAAATATATACAAGTGGAAATATATACAAAATATATACAGTTTCCAAGTTGTTTTATTTTTTGAAAAAGATAGGACTGGGAGAATCTAACCTAGAGGTCAGAAAAAGAGCACAACAGTTCTAAAAAGGTGGTAGTAGATCAGAACGATAGCCTCCTCAAAAATATCATTTAATCTACAAAAAGTTGTGTTTTTAAGAGTGGTATGCACTGATTTTTTAAAAATTCTAACACAATTTGCAGATATATGATTCGCCGTTCTTATTTTTCAATATACGTCATGACAACCCATACAGCACATCAAATCACATTTACGATGTGTATACATTATTAGATGCAGACACAGGGTGACACAATTCCCCCGATGTAAATATACTACGTTTACACATTGTAGTTCAACACGTATGCACACAGGTTAAACGTCCGCCTCACACAATGTAGCCACAGTATAGCACTTACGTATACACAAAGTAACGGATACACAGTGTGCCATAGGATACACAGTGCTTGTGTATTACGTTTAAACTCTGTTTACACATTGCAGTTGTGACTACCGCATGTATACGTATGTATTTTGCTTCGTATATACATCTTGTGCTAGATAAAACTACTCCTTATGAACAAATTTAGGAAATAATACAAGTTTTGATGCCTAACTTTTCGTTCTTTTTAAGAATTATTTATTCAATGATCCCAATTATATCTTTTTAGAACAAAAATTAGGAAGGCAAAACTTTGTATTTTCCAAAAGAAAACACTGTAAAAGAACAGAATTTGTGTTAAAATTTATTAAAAATATAAGTACCTAGTATAACAACATACTAAAATGGTAAACACTGGTATATCGCCACGATTTGGTGGACCTCGTTTAGTCATTTTTTTCCTCTTTTCCTTCCAAGCAGTTGGTTTGTTAGCATACTCATTCATCGAGCACTCTGTTGGACTTTGTTGTATTTTATTTCCAGATTAACAATCTCACACCCTTAAATTTTATATGAAACTGATTATTGAATATTAAACATATCTGTATATTGATCCATCAATAACTTACCGAATATCAGTGTAAGAAGTTCTTTGAAGTGTTTAAATCTTTCTTTCTGGCTGCTAACACATACCACCGCTAGAAAGGAGAAAGGAGAGAGGACACATAAGATACACTTGGTCGGTGTATCTACGCTGAGGCTATCCGCGCGTGCGGACACCTTCATTTCATGCTAGAATGTAGACACAACAGTACACTATTACAAAGTGTCTATATAGATATTTATATTATGTGTATACGTCACATTTTTACAAGGTGTATACTATAAGCACAACTATGATACGAAGTATCACACATTCATATGACTTATACATTGTATGTCTCATATACCGACGTCAGATTTCATCATTTTAATAATTATTTGTTACGTTACAAAAAACTCTTTAGAATCCTGAGTGCACACGGTATACAACTAGTAAACACTGTATCACACAATTCTATCAATATAAACCTGCGTGTATCTCATATGTATATGTTAGAACTAGATGAACACTTAGGTTCACTTTAACATAATTTGTTTTTCATGTGTCTCCCTTGTAGAAACGTAATTTCATTTGGACGTGCTGTATGGGAAATTTTGTTTATTTTTTACATTTCTTCTCATTTATAATAACTCTAAATACAGGTATAAAACAATAATATGAACTTATACAGGGTGTTTGAAGAAACATTTGCCATCTCTCTTGGGGAGATTCCTGACGTAAAAATAAGATTTATGTTTTACATCAACATAGGTCCGATTCTGCTTTGTTTCGTAGCTGAAGTGGAATAGGAAGTTGAAATATTCGTTTTTTTTTATTTATTATAATTTTCCTACAAATGCTTACCGTGATTCGAACAAAATTTTGAGAGTAAAAGTTAATATAAAAGCGAAATATTTTAATCTAGAAAAATGTCAACTGATTCACCACGGACGTGCATTGGAGTTATCACTGGAATATTTTTTAAAAAAAAATAGACATGTTCATCAGTGATATTTTTCATTACCTATACCATTTTGTCACCAAAGTTGTATAGGCCGCATAATGCCGATTAAAATTAAAACTCGTATCATAATAATAACGCAATTTTATTAATCACAATTAAAGAAATTAATATATAAATAAAACTCTAATAAATTATTTATTTAATCTAATTTACTATTAAATTTTAATAATAAAATAAGTGCAAATATTTCCAGGACCGATAGATATCGATAAAAGAAAAAAGAAAAAACATATTTTTTCTTTACCGTTTTTCAAATAAGTCGAAAATAACCGAATTTTACGTTGAAAATTTCCAAAAAAAATATTTTTTTGTTTGAATTTTGAGAACCACAGGATCTTTTCTGTTTTTTTTTTGTAAATTTAATCTACTACCCATGATGCCATATTATCAAGAAACTATGTTTTTAACTAAAAACCGAGCTAAAAACTAAAAAAAATCAATTTATTTTTCCAAAAAATCCAAATTTTCAAAAAAAAATTTCGCGAAAAAAATCTCAATTGTATTTCCCGAGTCAAAATATACTATCCCTAAAAATATTTGCACTTATTTAAAACTCACCCTGTATATTAACACTGATGTTCAGTGCTACCTAGAGCAAATTAGAAAAAATAACCGTATTCAAGATAATTACAAAAGACCAATTTTTAAAAGTTTTAATATCCTGTAACTCTAAATCTATGCATATCCGTACCTATGTTTATAAGAACTTGTTTTATATTTTTTGGCGAGGAATCAATAAGTACTTAATTAACACTTTTAATGACATTAAAAAAGTTTAAAAGGTTTGTCTCATCAAGGGCACCGCAATCGACAAAATATCAAAATACAAAACTTTTAATCGGCATTAAACGACCTTCACCATTGTGATATCAAGAAGAAGAAAAAGTCAGTTGGGCCCATCCTTTTTTTAACAAAATATTCCAGTGATATCCCACATGCACTGCCATAAATCAATCGACATTTTTTTAACAATAAAATATGTCGCGCTTATACTAACTTTTATACTCAAAATTTCATTCGAATCGCTAAAAGCACTTAGAAAAAAATTGTAATAAATAAAAAAAAATAAAACCTCTAACTCCCTGTAGCTACGAAACAAAGCAAAATCGGACCTATGTTGAGATAAAAAATAAATCCTTTTTTTACATGTGCATATCTTTTGAAACACTCTGAATAAATCATGTGACAAATACGGAAATACTTATTACAAAGTAGTACAACAGTAGTTTAGTAAAGGGTAGTATAACTATCCGCAACGTCATAGATGAGTTAATCAGAAAATGAAAACATATTAACAGTTTTATCAAAGATAAATTTATAGAAAACAATAACTTACCGGTATTCGACTGGTACTCGAAACCCAAATCCAGTCATCTCCAGGACCTTGTCCAGGATGTTCAGGCTTTTTCTTTCCATCACCACCAGAGTCCTCAGCTACAGCTCTTACTTTAGGACTTCGAAAACGTCTATAAGGTTCCTCAGTGTTTGCATCTGCCAAATAATTGTATTCGCTAATCCTACCCACACTTCGTTTTTTTCTCGCGCTTGTTGTCGGTTTCTGATCTTCGTTCTTGTTTAGTTTTGCTTCGTTTTTGGCGTTGATATATGTCACTATTCGGACAATTTCTTCTCTGAAGAATTCCGTGCGAATTTCGTTTTGGAAGTTGTAACGAAAGTCGTGCTTGCTGAGGTAATTTTCTTTTATTTCAGAGTTTATGAGTCTGAAAAGAATAAAACTGTTATAGAAATTGCCAAACATTAATTTCCACATAATATAGAGGGTGGCCCATTAGCCAGAAGAAATCCAATAGTGTTGTTACCAAAGATATGAAAAACAGTTTTATATAAAAGTGCATATCAAGGTGTATTTCATAAAAATATTTGGTTGTATAGAGGGTGTCACAAAAGAATAAAGTTGAATGTGGTCTTTTTAAACTTAACCAAACCGAACTCCCATTTTTCTGTACAGAATTGCGTTCAGCATAAAATTCTGCTTATAGTACACTACTTTTATCTAAAGTACAATGCGGTGTTGCCATTCTATTTCCTATTTACTGAAACTTTAGTTAAAAACAATATATCCAAAAAATGGTTAAAACCTGGGGTGAATTTAACTTTATAAATATACTTACCCCTGTAGCACAGCCAATATTGGTAAAATATTATATTTACACATATTGGCCCAACGATGGTAACGACAGATTTTTTTAATGGCTCAATATTATTTTTCATATGAATCTGATATTGAAGATAAATATTGTCCCAATATTCCAAATTTATATATATCCAATATTTGTTTTGGGAAAAGGGCCAATATTTAAGTTTTATATTGGGGCAATATACAGGGTGGTCCGAACTGTATTCCGGAAACTTCGGCAGCATATTCTGCAGATAAAAATAAGTAAAAAAGTTCGTATAAATGTTCGTCCTAAAATGCTTAGTTTCGGAGATACAGGGTGTAGAAATATCATTTTTATTTCATTTTTTTCCAAATAATTTCTGCAGTAACGTCAATATTTGGATAAAAATTGGTGTCTGGGAGTTTTTTGAGATGAGAAATTTGATTTTGATGTCAATATGACTCCTACTAGAAGAGGTAGTACATATTTTTTAAATGTTTGAAGAGTTATAACTTTTTGTCCGTACCTGTATAAAACTACTGAGTAAAAAAATATACATTTACGACAGTTTTTACGTAAAAAATGTCTCTTGGTAAAAATCGCTACGAGTATTGGTTTTCGAGATATTTCGAATCAAAATTATCAATACCTGTCGCCATTGACATAAATTAAATATGTTGACTGAATAGTTATTAGACTGAAGTCATAAATTTGAAAGCTTTTGTGTCATAAGTTCAACAGAAACTGTTTTATCAATATTTTTTGGCAGAAAAATTTATAATTAATTTAAAAAAATAAAAATTTCTCAAATTTATTATTTCAGTGAAATAACTATCTACTCAACGTGTTTATTTTTCGTCAATAATGACATGTATTGACTATTTCCATTCTAAATATCTTGAGAACGGTTACTCGTAGCGATTTTTACAAAGAGATATTTTTTATGTAAAAAGTCACAGAGATGTATATTTTTTCCTTCGGAAGTTTTATACAGGTACGGACAAAAAGTTATTAAGCTTCAAAACAGATAAAACACATGTAGGTGGCGCCCTCTACCAGTAGGAGTCATATTGACATCAAAATCAAATTTCTCATGTCAAAAAACTCCTAGATACCAATTTTCATGGAAATATTGACGTTACTTCAGAAATTATTTAGAAAAAATTGAAATAAAAATGAAACTTCTACACCCTGTATCTCTAAAACGAAGCATTTTAGGACATACATTTATACGAACTTTTTTGCTTATTTTTATCTGCAGAATATGCTGCCGAAGTTTCCGGAATACAATTCGGATCGCCCTGTATATTTTATATTGTATAAGCACAATATATACTTTATCGATATGGAATTAATATACTAAATCTATATTGGACCCTTAAAAAATGTTGTTTCCAACATTTGACCAATATGTAAATATTATGTTTAAGCAATATAGCTGTGTTCCTGTATTCTGTATATGAGATCAATTTGTAAATACCATATTATGGTATTAACTAACTGACGTGTTGTCCTTGTCTTACATAGATATCCTTATTAGCTACTGGCATTCGATATTGCTACAAAATATACTAAACACAAAATTGTTTGGTACAATTGTTTTATTATGTCAGAATATAATTTTACAAAAAATTTTTAATAACGATGGCAAAAATATTAGAAAACTGATACCAAAAACCAATGTTATAAACTAAAAGGACTTCGGACTTAATAAATCTTCGTGTAATAAATATCGATAATAAGAAAATTATCGATACAAGTAAAAATAAAATTACAAACAACATAATTTGTTCGCAATTAACTAGAACTGAAAAGCCTAATTTTTAGATTTTTTATGCTGCTTGCACATGTGTACACGTAATCTCGCTACTGAAATAATGAACCTGGTGGTCGTTACAAGGCTTTCTTCTCTCCTGCCGATCCTCCTTGAAGCCGCTTTGTCATTGGCAATGCAATTATACGGGGATTTTCCTTCGCCTTTGTAAAGATTGTTTTCCTTTTTCCTTGTGTCAGAGTTATCTCGGTGGATTGAAGGAAATTTTTGTAACGATGTTGTTACGCACTAAAATACCTCTTCAGTGATTTTTTGCTTTATATGTAAACAATCCTGCTGTTTCGAGTTCAATAACAAGTTATTATGAAATAATATAACAAGTAAATAAAAATCGTTATTTATAACAGTTGTTTCTGTCATTTTGATGTCATCTTTCATAATCTTCTCTGTCTTGTTGGACAGGCTGTAGAATAAACAATCTAAGACACTTAAATAAACTTTTTTCTTTCAATAATATTCATGCACAGACAGTTTTTTACCATTAATACCGTATGATATGAAGTAGCATTTTCACAGAATCGAAACAAAATCTCTGCTGAGAAACATGGCGAAACAGTTTCGTCACATTTTTGATACATAATATGTTTCGAAACATTTTACCAAAATATGGTTTCGCTACATAAGCTGTAACAATAAAGATCTTAGTGTCACAAATTTTTCGAAACTTTTAAGAAATAAATGTGGCTCACATTTACAGGTTTCGTACCCGTTTTGTGCCCGAAACGTTTCCATAATTTATTTGATATTCTGGCAAATATGAGAACTTAACCTTACTTTATTGTTTCGATTTTGTTCTGCAGTTTTTGCATTTAAACATTCTTCAAGTTTTTATAGTACTATAATTAAAAAAGCCGAAGGAAAAACATTATGGCGAGTACAAAAATTCCGCCATGTTGGCTAGTGATAGCGTTTTTAACTAAAAATGTATGTTTTTATCGGCTATTGAGTTTTTAAACTCATAAGAACGCGTTCTACATCCATTGATTTATATGTTTTTATTTTCAGAACCATGATATAGAAATAAAAATAAAAATCTATATTTCAAACAAAAATATTTTGTAGTAACAAATAATGATATATGTATAGAAGAGGCATTAAAAATATGAAAGTACATTATTGAATTAAACTGTAAATTTGCTTTTGCCAGACAGTTTTTGTGTGAGAAAACATATAAACAAAGATTTTAAGACAATGAGGTCGACATTGTTGATGGTTGTTTTCATTTTGAAATCTACACACAGACATAGACCATTTTAGTTTGGTATTTTGTTTCTTCACATTTAGAAACAGTGGCTGCTTAAAACGGAAACATCTTGGACACAAATCGCAGAAAATGTTTCGAAATGTTTTGATTCCGCATGGAAACATTTCAGGAAACGGCTAATGCCAAACCACAAAAAATATATAGGTTTCGAAAATGTTTCCTATTTGTGCTGGCTGAGGCGCGCCGTTGACTCAGGAGAAGGATCGATACGGCCACCGCGTGGGGTTTAAGATTATTATTTGTTAGGCATTGTATTGTCAATTCTGACGCGTAGTGCATCTCTCGCCTAACTCTGACGCGTAACACGTGCCCGACGACTTCAGAAGTGGTTGAGAACATTTAGTGTTGGTGTTTTGTGAAGTTTTATCTGTTCCAAGTTCAGATACTCAGTTATAAATCCCAATCGCAAAATAAATCATGTTGTGAGTGGTGTCTTTAGAAGAAAGCTCTACATCGAAGTCTCAATAGTACAAAACACCGGATCACACAGTACACGTCCACAGTACTGTTGTCCACAGTACTTTTGAAATAGAAAAACGGCATTACCATAGAAAAACGACACTTGAGGACCGATACTGAAGGCTCCAGTAGACCATATGAATGGTTGGTCTGTTTTGGGTAAAAGTTTCTTGAAAAGGAATTGTCTGTTTAGAGGATATAATGATCCAAAAGTTAAGGTAAATTAATTAAAAATAAAAATAATTAATAAATTGGAACGAGACCCTCAAATAACTTATCGGTTTTGCTATATCACAATTTTAGTCGCCATCTTAGGCAAAACAGTGATCGCCATTTTCGGCACAATTTTAGTCGCCATATCAGGCAAAACAGTGATCGCCATCTGAGGCACAATTTTGGTCGCCATCTCAGGCAAAACAGTGATAGCCATCTTAGGCACAATTTTGGTCGCCATCTTAGGCAAATGATCGCCATCTTCGGCACAATTTTGGTCGCCATCTCAGGCAAAACAGTGATCGCCATCTTAGACACAATTTTCGTAGCCATCGCAGGCAAAACAGTGATCGCTATCTTAGGCACAATTTTGGTCGCCATCTTAGGCAAATGATCGCCATCCACACAATTTTGGTCGCCATCTCAGGCAAAACAGTGATTGCCATCTTAAGCACAATTTTGGTCGCCATCTTAGGCAAATGATCGCCATCTTCGGAACAATTTTGGTCGCCATCTCAGGCAAAACAGTGATCGCCATCTTAGGCACAATTTTGGTCGCCATCTCAGGCAAAAACAGTGATCGCCATCTCAGGCACAATTTTGGTCGCCCTCTGTAGGCACATTGATCGCTCTCTTCTGGTATACTGACCGCCCTCTCCTGGCATACTGATCTGAAGCATATTGATTGCCTTCTCAGGCATTCTCGTCACAATTTTGTTTGATCGTCATCTTGAGCATAATCTTAAATGTTAAACTCACGCATACTTTGTCAATAATTGTTGGTCTCTCGGTTGGCCTAAATTATTATTCTTTTTTGCTTTGTTTTGTCGC